GGGGGGGGGGGGAGCCGAAAAGCTAAATCCCGGCCACTGACATCGCTCCGGCTGGCGGCGGCTCTGCTCTCCTTTAGTTCCAAACCCTCCGGCGGGGCTCCAGCGGCGATCGGTGCCCGGCGGCCTCTGCAGAAGCAGCCACGGGGATGGGTGGGTGGGTTGGGGGGGGGGGCGGCTGGAGGAGAGGGGGGGGGGGGGAAGGGTTTCCCCGCCCTGGGTTTTTAAAGTCGTGGGGTTTTTCTTCTTCCTCCTCCTCCTCCTCCTCTTCCTCGCCCGGCAACGGGGCTGTCGGGTTGTCGGAGCGTCGTTTTCGTGGCTGGGGTCTTTTTTCTTTTGTCCCCCGCCCCCCCCAACACCCTTTGGAAGCAAAGGCGGTGGGAGCGAAGGAGGAAGGCTGGCCAAGGGTCCTTTTTCTCCGGGGATGGGATTCTCGGCTCCTCGGTGCGAATGCGTGGCTTTCCTTCCTTCCTTCCTTCTCTTTCTTTCTTTCTTTCCTCACTTCCTCCGATTTCTTTCTTTCTTTTTTTCTTGGAAACAAAGGAGGCGCCGGGGAGGAGGGGGCCGCCCCCCCCGAAAGCCAGGCCCCCCCCTCTTCAAAACTCCCCCCCAAAAAAAACAGATGGAAAAAAACGGCTTGCTTTTCTTTTTTTTTTCCCGCCTCCCTCAAATCCTTAGAAAGTTACGAGCGCCGAGCCTGGTCCAGGGATTTCTCTCTTTCTCTTCTGGGACAAAAACAACACGCAGCAGCAGCAGGTAGGTAGGCAGGTATCTGAGCGAGCATCCCCGGCTCTTAATAAGGGCCACATTTAAAAGCGGAGGGGGAGTCGCCTTCTCCCCGGAGAAGCGGGCAGAGAAGAGCCGCCGGCGCCGCCGTCCTTCGGCCGGAGGGGACGAACAAAAAACATCACCAGCCGCGATCGCTCCGGAGCCTCCGTCCCGGCGAGGTCAAAGGCTGAGAAGAGAGAGGCAAGGAGAGGAGGGGGGAAAAAAAAAGTTTGAACTTGTGCAAGGAGGAAAGAAAAGAAAAGAAGAAGAAAGGCGGAGGAAAGGGAGAGGAAGAGGGGAAGGGGGGAAAGGGAAAAAGAAAGAGAGGAGGAAAAAAAAA